ATCGTTAGCATTTGCGTTAGCATTGAGAAACACGTAAAGAAAAATACACGCACTGATCCATCTCGAACATGAGCTACGGTTACAGTCGGTCATAGATATTAAAAATAACATTACATAATATGTTATGCGATAAGGTTATCTGTTGTTGGGTAACACTTAATTGGTCTCGCGCTGCTGCTCCTAGTTTTCAAAATGGCGGCTTAGCTTGAACGTTAAGAGGCTTAAATCAGTAACCTCAGGCCATTACCATTCACGGGTTTAGCTGTTCTAGCCACGGCATATTCGATAGAATTTCGTTGAATTTTGTACTATTATTCAAGCACATGTTACCAACACAATTATACTGTGATTCAATGCGCTCGTTCTATCTGGGATACATGTAGTCAAAAACATTTACCTATTAACATAGTGATATCTGTAATTGAATATTCAGGGAAACATTACCTAGAATAATTATTTGTTTTTTTTTTTACCTAATTACACCCGCTGTGTACTATATATATTATTGGCGGGGTTGAAACAGAACTACAAGTATCTGAAGCAATATTATCACAGTGTTCTCAATGTCAATTCCGTACGAGTTTAGGTGGATACACAAACAGGCCAAAAACGCTGGCAGAATTTTTTCCGCCCATACTTCCAGTCCTGTATGGCTATAGCATATAGTGTCTATCTGCGAAAAATGCGAGTTTCCGCTTCGTGCCGTGACCTGGCAAATCCTCTGAACAGTAACATTTCACTTTGTAATACTGTAAAGACGACAGATAACGTCACCGCCTTGTTGTCATTTGCGTATTCTTGTTCAGTATATATGCTATAACCGGCTCCATCTGCAAAGGACAATGTGTGCCGGCAGGTCTACTTGTGCGTCTACTGTGTGTTGATCTGACACGGAAAGCCTGTCCTACAATTAGTTTAGGTTTTGGCAAACTGAGTCAATTGCTAACGGCTCATATCTGTGGGTCAGCTACGAAAAAACAAGGTTGTACTGGGAGCGTTCTTTCGATATTTTACAAACGAGAAGCATTACCCTAATGAAATTTGAATATTGGGTCTGCTATTATTGGTGAATATGGAGCCCAAACATTGCAAAGTCCATAAATGGAAAAAAGTGGTAAATGGGACATGGCAGTGGAATTAATGGCTTACTGGAATGGAATGGTTTGGAATCTAAAGCAATAGTTGAAAACAGTCAGCGTTAACTTCTTTCTGCGTATTATTCCACTGTTGTGATATCCTCCACGTACCTTTTTCAATCAGAAACTTGTGGCAATTTTGAGCAGATTTGTAAGTTTGCGGCTAAACTTTAAATCTAGAAATCAGCTCACCTGAAGCAACTTAAATGGTCGCTATAAGAGCTGAATCTCGTAGGATCTACGCAATGTTCAATATGAAAATATTTTCCGACTCATGGCAAAATAAAGTAAAATTTTTCTAGCTAACGTTGATGCCGCAACGTGTCATTTAGGCTATACTTGCTCTTCAATGAAGTACGAAGGCAGCATGTGGTGAATATTTGGTTATAACAAAAATGTTATCGCAGCAGAACTTCATTAATTACACTACACGAAAACTTTTTGTACTGTCTCAATTTGCAGCGGGTCTAACATTCGCTTATTTCTATTAACTAACGCTTAATTCTTAAGGAAAGCAAATTCTCGAAAAAACAAAGGGACATGAATTAGTATAGCAATTGGCTGTGATATAATGGCAAAGCGGATTTTAGAAATCCACTTCGCATCCAAAGAAAATCGGAATGAACAGCGAAAGCTTTAAATGAAAAGGAAACCCTTAGCTGCGTCTACAGATGCGTCTGGAAGCATGTCAGTCCTATAGATTCGTATGTACTTCCGCCGCCTACTTAAGCGGAAGACTGATTTCAAGAATATAATATTTAGTAAATTGTTACACCAAAAACATACAGAACTTATTTTTCTCGAAAACATACGGAAGCACTCTCATTACGAATATTTAATATAACTTTTGGACAACGAATCAGCGACCAAGTTACATGCTTCAACAAGCGCCTAGATAATAAACCGTTTCTATTCTTATAGCGGTTGTGTATATATACAAGTGTTTTTAAGCGTAGTTCCGATAAATAACAAAAGTTCGAATTAACTTTTGGATAATTTCAATTTGTAGATACGACAGGTTAAATATGCGCTCAAGTACGTTTGCATCATTCTGCGTAAAGGCTGCGTCAATATGCAACTTCTATATGAGGGAACTGCGAAAAAATGTGACACCGATTTGCGATTCTTTTAGTAGCTTTAGCCGGTCGTGTAACATCGTCTTTATATCCGATTCTCCAGACGTATATGTTTATATATTTGTGTAAGCCTTCATGACCCGCTTCTTGTAAGTTAAACAAAATTTGTACTTTGATAGAAATGCCATTTCACGCCAACGTACTTAACTTAGTTGCCCAGCTCTAACAAGGTTATTAGTAAAGATTGAGAACTGGCATAGATTTTTGCGGACCGCGAAAACTGCATAGTATTTGACAAAATGCATTTAGTTGCGGGTGTTAACAATACAACTTCTATATATATATATATATATATAGATATATATATATAGAAGTTGATGACCTATTACTGCAACTACATTCTATAATAAAAATCTACATAAACCATTTACCGATACCATCGTATTCGCTTTAGGCACCTGATTGTTTTTCTTAGAAAAATGTCAATTGAGAAACAAATGTCTAAGACCTAGAATAGAGTTTTTGTCAGATACCTATTGCTGATTCCATTACGAAGAACTTTTTACCGTCAATAAGGTCGCGCCCAGAGCGACATTATATTACGCCTTATATATGGCTATACGGAAGCCTTTTTATGAGAAATTTGAGAGTATTTCCCAAGGCCATAACCCGCTGATTCTTGTAGCTACGGCACAATCATCTCTTAACTCACATACTGGTCACGGGAAGCTCAAGCTCTATCGAAAGCTCGTACTCCACGCTTTTATATGCAGTTGGCAGTGTGGATTCCCCTTTTTCTTCTCGAGTCCCTTATTCGGCTGAACAAAAAAGAACTTTATATAACACAAGACGACCTTTGATTTTAAATAAAATCAGAATTTTACTGAAGTTATTTACTGCATTTCGTGTGCTGCGTTTTGGGTTCTAGCTACTAATCATCATCTTTTGCATCCATTTGCTCAGGTATTATGCGAGTGTATAAGACTTATAAGATATTTTTTAATATAATATATATATA